TTTTTGCTTAGTGAGCAAAAGACGGATGAGGAAGGAAGGGGCAATTGTGTGTGTGTGTGTGTGTGTGTGTGTGTGTGTGAGAGAGAGAGAGAGAGAGAGAGACAGAGAGAGAATATAAAAATCTAATTTTTTACCAGAATTATTTTTTTCTTCCAGGTGAACATATGGTTTTAACATAACTTCTATTCCACAAACCAAAATCAAGCACCTCTGTTAACTCTCAACTAAACATAGACTTTTTCTGAACTTTGGAATAGGAGTAAGGGGGAAGAGTGAAACACACTAGCTTTTGTGCCTTGTTGTAATTTTTAATTTCTCAAAGAGTAGACAAGAAAGAGAATGAATACAGCAATGTCTTTGATCCCTACAGTTCATATTCAGACAAAAAGGAGCCAATCATTAAGGCTAACTGCCTCAGGAAAATAAAAAACAGCCAATTTAATTTCTGAACACAGGAAGATTTTTTACCCATTATCAAATCATGAAAGATCTGAATGCACATATTATGGTGTAACCATAAAATAAGGTTGAGTTTTTGCTTCCTGTTAAATCTCATGAAAACAAGCATTCTGAGTGAGGGGTGTGGTAAAGACACACAGGGCTAATCTTAAGAGAGGGTAAAGTTTCTGGCTGTGTATTAGGTTCGATTAGAATTTTCTGGGTTAAAACGAATTCTACTTCAGTTTTGTTTCTTTCATAGATGCTGGAATTCCTGTATAAGCCATTCAAATATTTGTATTTATGACTTTTCTACTTTTTAAAAAAGTCTGTACTCCTCAAGAGAGTAAAGGAGTAGGTTTTACTAGACAACATATTTAATGGGTTAAAGCAACCAACTAAGAAGAGGGAATGTTTTAGAAGTGAGGGAAAGGGTACTCATGCAGACATGAAGGTGAAGCAAAGGTAAATGTGACAGAGAAAAATGGATTTGCCATCTATATCTTCCTTCTTTCTTTCATTTTCTTTTCTTTTCTTTCTTTTTTTTTTAAACTTTTTTTGAGACAGAGTTTCGCTCTTGTCGTCCAGGCTGGAGTGCAATGGCAGGATTTTGGCTCATTGCAACCTTCGTCTCCCAGGTTCAAGCGATTCTCCTGCCTCAGCCTCCTGAGTAGCTGGGATTACAGGCATTTGCCACCACTCCTGGCTCATTTTTGTATTTTTAGTAAAGACGGGATTTTACCATGTTGGTCAGGCTGGTCTTGAACTCCTGACCTCAGGTGATCCATGCACCTTAGCTTCCCAAAGTGCTGGGATTACAGGCATAAGCCACCGCACCCAGCCAATCTGCCTTCTTTCTAAAAGAGATAAAGCTTTCTAGCTGCCTAGTACCTTGGTGAATTTGGGCTGAGCCCATTCAGCGACAAGCACTGGAAAGAAGGGAAGAGGGGTGATGAGCAGGGGAGAGGAGAGGAGGAAGAGGACCTGGTGGATGGTAGGAGGCCATAAGGTCTTCCGTGTGATGTGTGAATCTTTAGCTAGGTACACCATATTTTAGAAATGTTTGGTGTAAATGGATTTCTTTTGCAAACTGGAGAGGGTTTTGGGCTGATGCTGAGCGGAACAAAGATGATATTCCTGCAGCTAGAGACACAGGATCTCGGAGAAAATGAGCCCCAGAAATCAGCAAATGTCATGAGGGGACTCTGGGTTATCATAAGCTGTGGAATTGGTATTGGATCTGAACCTGTTTCTTCAAAGTGCAAGGAAGACCAGCTAACCTCTTGTTTTTGCCAATTTAGGACAATTTTCAACATTACGAAAACTCATTTGGTTTAGGTGCAGAGCTCAGATGTCCTCTCCATGTGGACACAACCCTGCATGTACACACACAAACAAGCACTTGATCACACATGTGTGTGCCCAAACTCCACTTTTCTGCTTCTCCAGGAGCACTGTATGTTATTCTCATTTCAGACAAATAAGTTTGGCCAACTTTGATCTTTCCTTTCAGGTCACTGATTGGTGAATTGTCACAGATGTTGTTCTGCCTCTCCTTAGAGAGCTGCCTTTGTTGGTTCTGGGGTACTTTCATTAAGGAGAGTTACCTTCAAGAGGTGTCATGGCCTGCGAGCAAACCATGCTTGGGGTGCACCATTAAAGATCTCCACCCCTGGGGAGCGATCCTCACAGCAGGGCAGGACTTGGCCCCTTACGGGCTTGCCTAGTCTCTCCCTGCCAGGTGGGTACAGCAGCAGGAGTCCGAATTCCACATTTTGCAGAGTCCTGGCATAGAGGGATCATTCAAGAGAAACTTCCTCAAGCTGCCCACGGCTGCTCAGTCCCTCATATCTGCATTCAGATGTGGCCTTCTTTATCACTAACTCAGGAGGACCTTGATGGATGTTGGTCTCCCTGAATTTGATAACTATTTATGGAAGCACTGAAAATGGCATTATTTATTTTGATGACAATCAAGTATGTGAATGCCAATGATAGAGACTGAAGGGTAAGTTCCACAGCGGATGTGGTGCAAGTTTCTAAATACTGCTGCCATGATTCTCATGTGATGTGAAGGATATTAAGAGATCTAGAACTAGGATAGAACTGCAGCTCAACCATGGTAGAAAAAATTTTTTGAGTTCCACTCTGTTTAAAAATTTTTGTGTAGAGACAAAATCTCACTGTGTTGCCCAGGCTGGTGTCAAACTCCTGGCCTCAATAAATCCTCCTGCCTTGGCCTACCAAAGTGACAGGAGCCACTGTGCCAGGCCAAAAAGTTATACTCCTGAGTAAAGACTACTTTATAGTCTCTTGATAACACACCATAATTTTAAAAATATTCTAACTGCTGTAAATTTCTGTATAATTTAAATCTTGAGGCCGAGGGCAGTGGCTCATGCCTGTAATCCCGGCACTTTGGGAGGCTGAGGTGGGGGGATCATCTGAAGTCGGGAGTTTGAGACCAACCTGACCAATATGGAGAAACTCCATCTCTACTAAAAATACAAAATTAGCCAGGTATGGTGGCAGGTGCCTGTAATACCAGGTACTAGGGAGGCTGACGCAGAAGAATCACTTGAACCCCGGAGGCGGAGGTTGCGGTAAGCTGAGATCGTGCCATGGCACTCCAGCCTGGGCAACAAGAGTGAAACGCCGTCTCAAAAAAAAAAAATCTTAAATTTGCAGATTTGTAAAATCCTACATCCCTGTCCCCACCCCTCTTTTCCCATGGTCTTTATTTTAGTTCCTTGTGGTCAGCAATGAGTCTCATCTTCTCTTGCACCTCTCACAGTGCCTGACACAATGTTGGGGACATCAATAAGTATTGTTTTGTGTATTATTTAGGTATATTTTCTCCAGTTCTCTAGCAGTGGAGAATAAATGATTGATGACCTTATGAAGTCATAATCCACCTAAAGACTGCATAGTATGCAAATAAGTCTACCATTATCTCCTTGATATAGATTTTCATCTTTTATGTATGGCGACCCTAAGTAAGGAGAAGAGGTGATCTAGCTCACTTGGTGGGACGAGGGTCTTGACACAAATCCACAAAAATTGGAGAGTATACACAGCTGTTCATTTGTCTGTGTGCTGAGGTGGGGGTTGGGGGGTGAGGTTATATTCACATAGAGAAGACATCTTAGCTCTGCACCCAAACCAAAATGAGCTTCAGATGCTGAAGATTGAAGGTCAGGTGCTACCCAGGTTTTGTTAGTCTCTTGACATAAACATGATCTTTAGATATGGTACATATTATGAATCATTCCATCTTTTCAAATACATTTTGAAGGTTTTTTTTTTTTTTTTTTTTTTGAGACAGAGTCTCACTCTGTCATCCAGGCTGGAGTGCAGTGGTGCAATCTTGGCTCACTGCAACCTTTGCCTCCCGGGCTCAAGCAATTCTAGTGCCTTAGCCTCCTGAGTAACTGGGATTACAGGCATGCGTCATCACACCCAGCTATGTTTTGTATTTTAGTAGAGACAGGGTTTCACCATGTTGGCCAGGCTGTTGGGATTACAGTGTCAGCTACCACGCCTGGCCAGAAGGTTTGTTTTTATTTTAAACACAATTGTGCTGGGTGTGATAGGATGGGTATATGATAGAGCAGAAAATCACCAGTGTTCATTAATATGGATGACACCCTCCATAGGTTATTGATTTAGTATTGACAACAATACCCTTCACACAAGACAGAGAGGTTAGAGAATTTGCCCAAAGACAAGCAGCTGCGAAGAGGAAAACTAGGCTGTTCTCTCCCTAAATCTCATGCTCTACTATATTAGGGAGGACTCTGGCAGATGGCACATCCTGATTATTTGAAAGTCACCAATATTTTTTAAAATTGCATAGATAATGAAGGTTAGTTTATCCGGAATTCTAATAATTGCATCTCGTGTCCATAAATCTCTATTACAACCACCTGAGATAGGCCATCTGGGGCACGTGGAAAAAGCCCAGGTATAGACACTTTGGATCCCGGATTTCCCTTGTACTGGCTGCTACCTTGGGTAATGTAATTCGCCTCTCTGAGGCTCCTGTTAGCTTCTGAGGATTGCATGGGATAGCATGTACCAAATTTCTGCACACACAGTCTGGTGTACACTTAAGCACACAACATGTGTCAAAGTTTTCAAAAACATTGCCAGTGAGGCATCAGTTATAAAACTTGCTGCAGAGTGAGCTGATATTGCACCACTGCACTCCAGCCTGGGTGACGTAGAGAGGCTCAGCGCCCCCCGCCAAAAAAAACAGAAACAAACAAAAAAACACCAAATAAACAACTTGCAGCAGAAATGGACATTGTTGTTCTTAGAAATGTGACCATAGGGAAGTTACAACTACACAGCTCGCTTTAAGGGAAATGAGTGACCTGCCACCTACATGGAGTTGGGGAGGTTTTGCTGAGAAAGTCACTCACGAGGAAGGCAAAATATAGTTAAGACAAAATGTAACCATCTATAGAGATAAGGTAAAAATTGGAAATAGAACTTCATCAAAGATCTTTCAAGTAGAGGAGAATGTGGTGAAAACTGCAGTTAACATTTGTTAACAGTGTGATCTTCGGGTTCAGCTTATCAGTAACCTGGTTCCTGTCTCTTAACTGATAAAGAAAATCGGAGGTTTTTAGAGGGCGGCTGTTGCACTTAGTAAAGCTCTAAAGTTGTTAGAGAAATTGGCTTCCCGAGTTATGAGACTGTGCGCATACAGTTGAGGAAGAAAGAATTCAAGTACAACCCAATGAGGGTAAGTGCCTTTGGGGTGTTTTTCAAAAGTACTTTTATCTCAAAGGGAACAAAATTGAGGTTAATAATAATCACTGTTATCAATTTTGCTTGTGAGAAAAGTAGTATTACCAATGGGAAAATCATGGTACAGATTGATGAAATCCCTTGAAATCTTATTTGTGTAATACGGGACTTTGGTCTCATGTGTTGGAAAATACATGGTTGAAGGTAAGAAAGGATGGGGGCTTTGCAGTATACCCATAGAGTGCTCATATTCCGTAGTTATTCTTTCTGAAATCCACAAAATCCAGCAGTGTAATCTACTCAGATGGAGATGAAGGAAAAAAACAAAACTAATGAAGCAAGAAGCTGCTGACCAAAGGGGCGAGGAAGCAGGATCGTAGCCATCTGCAAGAAGGAAATAGAGAAGGGACATGAGCGGGGTGGGTATGCAGATATGAGAAGGCCCTCCTGAATGAGGGCCATTGTTTCTGGAGGGGTGGGGAGTGAATGACTGATGTAAGATCAAGTTTGTTGCGGCTGCCTGCTTTGATCCTCTGCTTGGTGGCTCCGTTCTTCTTTTCTCTGAAGGCTACTCAACAGAGGGTTGCAGAGGTCGACATGGCAGAACTGGCCCCCAAAGCCTTATCCACTGAATGTCAGTTTTTCCTTATAATTTCTTCCAGGCATAAGAAAGTGGGAGGCATATTTCTGTCTGGCTATAACCATTCTCCTGCCAGATTCTGAGGCCAAACTCTTCATGTGCCATTGTTTCTGAATACCATTATGGACATGATTATCTCATTTTGGCTATTCCATGCATAGTGTTGGAGACAGAAGGCTCTGGACTAATGCAGATCTGCATTTAATCTCTGCTCTTACACTTACTTGTTACATAACATTAGGCAACTCATCTACGTCTTTAAATCTTGAATTCCTTGCTTACAAAGAGGTAACTAGCATATTAGTACTAACATCATGATCAGAGTTTCTGAAGGTTAACTGGGTGTAAGGGTTTACTGCATTACTCCGACAGCACTCAGCACTTAATGTTGTCAGACCTCATCATTGTCCTTAATTTTTTCCTTCCCCGCTTGGGGAACTTTGATCTCTGTGCCCTGTAGATAGGCTGCTGGCACTGCTGATGTGAATGTTACAGGATCCCCATCAGGACCTGGGGTTCTCTCTGTTCTTGAATGCATTGTTTAGATGAGGAGATTGATTCCAAGTTACTTTTCTACTTGGGTGCCTCTGTGTTTGGAGATGTGGCTGCATAGCTCAAGTGTATCTGGAATGTCTTCGGTTTTCAGATACCTGTTTTTCCTCTAGGAGAACTCTCTTCATCTATGTCCTTTAAAATATTTGTCCTATAATCACAAGGGTTTATATTTCTCTGCCCATCCCTCCATACTTCCTGGTTTTCTGAGAGTGCAGAGGCAGGCAGCTGCAAAGGAGAGCCCCCCAGGGATTCCGGTGATGACTTTGAGCCAGGCTGACATCCATGTCTAAGGGCAAATGAAGTCTGGTTGGGGGGATACAGTGCAAGAGTCTTCCAACACTGGCGATGCCACCATTGTGGGAGTATGCATGTGCATCTGCATGAGTGTGTGTGTGTGTGTGTGCGTGTGCGCATGTGCGTGCATGTGCAGTAGGGTCCTACTACAGGTTGGTGGAAAAGATCCCTCTGGTCCTAGAACAAAAATCTAACAGGAACCAAGAGTCCAGTTCCAAGAGAAAAGGGAAAGGGCTAGCTAGGCAGGGCATCTGGATTCTGAATAGAGGCTGAGGCCTTGGCTCAGACACAGAGGAGAATGGAGAAATGGGGTGATGTCAGAAACATCTTTAAAATATTGTGGGCCAAGGGTAGGATGGCTCCAACTTGTCTGGGTTGTATTTGTCCTTAGTACACTTGAAATAACATAGCGGCAGCAGCAATCAACATTTACTGAGACTATGTGCTAGACCCTGAGCCAAGCACTTTCCACACACCATATCCTGTCATTCTTATGATAGTGCTGTGAAGTAGGGATGAAACCAAGTCCTTGCTGACTCTAATCCTGTACTTCCAACCAGTGCTGGTGAGGGCCCCAGGCTCCCTACAGCAAGACTAAACCTGGGCATGTGTGCTGTCCTAATGGAAAAACACAGAATAAAGATGGTGTCCACCAAGATGTAACTGAGATTTAGAGAAGACTTGATAACTTATCAGGTGGGTGGGTAGTCTTTAATTTCAACAACTGCAGATCCTATCTAAGACCACTTTTGTCTGTGACAACTTAGTTAAACATGACTTAAGTGTGGATATGAGGGGCCAATTTTGAGCTCATTCTATGATTGGAATGAATACTTCCCTGTCATAGGTGAGCGACAACTATCTGGGCTGGTGGTACAGGGGTAAAATAATTTACTAAGAAAGTTGTAGATAAAGAAAGGCAGATTTATTAGAGAAAGTATGAAAATACATTACAAGGTTGCAACGGGCAGCACAGCCAGAGAGGAGCTGACTGCAAAGAAACAAAGGCTTGCTGGATATTTATAGGATAGTTCCTGGGCTCCAGGGTGCTATGTGCAGTACTGATAATGCCAAGGTTGTAGTGAGCTAACTTGCAGGTGTTTGGTGATAGTTGGGTGCAAGAAGACTGTGAGTTATTTGCTCAGAAGAGCTATGTGTCCTGGGCCGTGAAGAAAGGCAGACTTACAGTTTACCTGCTTTCTCTCTTTGCTTTCCCTTGGTAATGCCAGTCTGACATTTTTCCCCTAATGAGGATTCCACACATCCTATGCCTTCCTCTCGGGAGCCTTGCAGTCCAAGTGTGATGGAGTGTCTGAGGTCAGAGTCATTGAGTAATGGGGCCTCTGCCCTCTCAGCCCCACTGCCACCCAACTGAGGCTCCCTGAATGGGGGTGTATGCCATGGGGAAAAGGAATGGGATGATGTCGATGCCCCTGGGGTTGCTAGTCATCCTCCCCAATCTCCACTCTCCCTGTCCACCCACAGAACCAGTCAGCATTTCTGTAATTCCTCTTCACTCTGGGGTGTTACGATCAGAAAATATCATGTACCTTTTGCTGCAAGCTTGGCTGAAAGAACCCCACACTATAGCTGAATGTCTTTGATTCACCATCTGAGCAGAGACCTCAAACTATAAAGAAAATCAGAGTCTCTTGATGCCCATGTTGAGGACAAGTTTTCTTGGATTTCATGACTCTTTAGGAACAGTGAACTTATGGGTAAAGACCGAGACTTTAGTGAGGAATTCCCTCATTGTTTTTTTCTTCTTGAGCAAAACCTTGTTTGATTTGGGGTTGTAATGTTCAAAATTACTTTCTTTTCATTTCGCCTTTTTTTCTTGAGTAGTGGTTTCTGGAAATCTGAGCTGCTTTATGCTCCCTGAGTAGTCTGTGCCAGATCACAAACGTACACACAAACTCTGAAGACACCGGAAAAATCACCCTTTAGAGGAATTATCTAGAAAACTAGCCCCCATGCAAAGTGAACAACCTTTTCAAAAATAATCTACATTAAGATTTTTGAAACTAACACATTCCTCAATCATAGCAACCAAATGAATTACTTAAAGTGGGTTTGGCTCCTGCTTTCATTAAGGGAGTATTTTCAGGAAATTAGAGGTCTAATGTAAACGTGGCTCCTTTTGGTTTTTCCATTTTCTTTGTCTTCAGGCTGTTTGCTGCCACTTTCATCCTCCCCATATCTCAATCTGCCAGTGATGGTTTGTGCCTCTGGTCACTGGGTCAGATCCAGGGCTAATTCACTCACCTCTGATTTCTAGTTTCACCCTTATGAGGAAAGCATTCTTACATCTGATATTCACATAAAAAAGGATTTGATTGTCTTTGGCATGTCTCTACAGTTAGCTAAACATGTCTTGAGCACAGAAAAATGGAAAGAAAATGGAAATAAGATTTGTTTGATAAGAGGAGAGCTGCTAAGACTTGTCTGTCCCTGAGTTGAGATATGCTCATTTACCTTAAGACTTTGCATAAACCACATCCCGAATTCCAGTTTATAAGTCTTTATCCTATTTCCCAAACCACATCTCATACTTTTCATGTAATCTGGTGGGCATAGATATTCTCTCGCTGAACCCGAGAAAATCTAGAATGACCAAGGATCTAAAATAAGTAACACAGTTGCTCAGGTTCCTGGGCCCTATGGTAGAATTTCCTTCTTCAGAGAAGGGGAGAACAAGGTAGATAAAGAAAGGAGCATTTCATCTTGCAGCAACTTGGAAGAGAGGTGGGAGTTTAATTTTTTTTTTAAAGTAATCAAACCTTCCCATATAGCCCATTTTCAACCACAATGGTATTTCAGAATTACCAGGAGATTTATCTAAAATTATGTAAAAATTTCCCAGAATTACCTAAAAAAATGTACAATTTCATTTCCCTTCTGTTACATAATATGGATACCCAGCTACTATTTATTAGTAGTAGATACAGACTATTTAAGAGACAAACTATTATATTGCAAAAAGTGTGACCCTTAGAAACCAAAATTCCAAAGAAGAGTTCTTTGTAATTGGCAAAGTTGATTCTGATTGAGTGTCAAACTTCCAGTATAATGATGGATCAACTTAGAAATTTGATTGATTCAAAGCATTCTGAAATTGTACAACTCTCTCAGTACTTGTATTATTTCCATGTCTTCTTTTATTATCTTTCATTGAATGATGTTTTCATGTACACTTAGCTGCTTATAAGGTCAGTATTTTAAAATCAGAGCAATTTCTTTAAAATTAAAATGTTTCAGCAAAATACATTTTAAAATGCACTGTAATTACCCAAACAATATTACACTCTTACAGGTAGTTTAAGAATAATAAAAAATGTAATTCATCAACTCACTTCTTTAATACAACAAAGCTGATTAATGTTCTATGTTCCCTATTAGACTTTCTCCCATGTATAGCTTTACAAAGTGGTAGTTGACGAGTAAATACAATTTTGTGATTTTTTTTCACATAAAATGAGAACAAACTCAGTATGTAAATTACTTCA